CCGAACCCCGCTCTCCAAGGGCCTGTCCCGGCCCCCAGGGCCTCAGGACGCACTCAGCGCTTTCCCGTCACCTTCTCCCTCTCACGGGACAACCCTGACAGAATGGTACCAAAACAGCAGTCACACCTGTCTGGGCTCCTCCCCTTCTGCTTACTCTGTGAAGTCCTCTCCCCGTCTGCCACAGCGTCGCCGGCACTCAAACAGCCCCCGCTCCCGACGGGCCCTGCACGCCGCAGCGCCAGCCAGAGGCCTCCTCGCCTCTGAGCAGCGCCGTGGCCTGCTAGCATCACCTGCTCTTTGCCAGCCTGCCCTCTCGTCTCCTTTGGCTCCTCCCGTCTGTTAGCACGTCTCAGCCGGGCCATGGGAAGCCGCCAGTCTGGAGACCACCGGGTTTTCTGTGGCCTTCCATGAAGACGTCCTGGCTCACATTTTAGACTGAATTTCTGTTTATTTCCCTGCCCTGGCTGGCATCCTGGATATCCCACAATCCCATCTTCCTGGCAAGTTATTAGTTGCTGTACTCCCTGAACAAGCCCCGGTCCCTGCCCTCGAACACAAAAATCCCCAAAAACCAAGTGGGTGCTGCCCATGCGTCTAATTTTTGAGGGATAACGTCTGGTTTTCAAAAGTGAGTAGAACAGCGGCCAGCTGAACGGAGCCCGTTGCGAGGGGCTGGACTTGAGCGGAGGTAATGCGTGAGGACACGCCCGCCTGCAAACGGGGAGACCACACAGGCCTGGCTCTTCTCACCTGCGAGCACTTGTTCCTTGCGGATAGAAAGTGGAGTCTCACACAACTGTCAGGCCACGGGAAGCAGATGTTCAGAGAGCACATTTACTGTCACAGAGAAAAGCACTTCAACCTGGACACCCCTTTCTCCTGAGGACTGCTCCCCAGACTCACTGCCCAAGGCCACCTCCTGTGGTCATGTCGGGCCGGACCACAGCGCCTCTGCTAGCTGGCCAGCCGCTTCCCACTCCCTTGGGCCTGGGCTCTGGCCGCCGTGAGACCTGGCGAGTTGGCCTCTCCGTCTCGATGCTCTCCTTTATGGGGTAGGCAGAGTAGTAACATAGCACCAATGAGGGCCTGTTGGTCACAGGAGGATGAGCTGCTGGGTGGCCGTGTGGGGACACCGTGCCTGTGTTCCACGGGACTGTGAGCTGTGGGTGGGGGTGTGGGGACTGTGGGCTAAGGCGCAAGGCCTGACTCTGAACCCACACGCCAGGCTCCCTGCTTCCCCTCACCTGTCCTGGCAGGCGAGGCAACGCGCCTTTTCTGGTGCCGTGTCCCACGAACCCACTGCTGACCATTTGGCTCCCCGCCCTCTCGTGTCCAGCGGGGGTCAGCCCTCGGAGGCATCAGCTTTGCTGGCCACAGCGTCCTCCCACCTGCCAGCCACCTTTCTGGGAATTCTTACTTCTGGTGCTCTGAGGTGTCTGCCTCTTCCATCTGAGTTCAGGTAGAGATTTGGCTTTAAACACATTTTACATCGTTTACGATATAAAACTGTGTGCGTGGGAGGGAGGCACCGGCAGCCCTCTGCAGTGTAAATTGACTTTGTATTTCTCTGGTTCCTAGTGGGGAGGGGTTGCTAGATTATGCCATCCTTTTATTTTTAAGGTGTAACATTTCAAACATCATCCCAACCATATCTTCGATCCTTGAAATCAAAAGGAAAAATGACTAAGGAGAGGGCATCCTGCGTGACGTACACACTGGGAGGCGACACTAGCAGTTAATCAAGGGCGCCCGTTCTGCCCTGCCCGCCGCCCGCTGCGGGCTCCTGAGCAGCTCCAGACCCGCCTCTCTCGCCGCTGTCCACTTGTTCTGACTCTCCCTTAGAGTACCTCAGAGGAGAAGGTTCGTCTCTTTGGGGGGCAATTTATCTGGTTTTCTTAACATGTTCTCCCACCTCACAGCTGTGACATCTCCCCGCTGCTGGGGGCGCCCGGCCGAGCAGGACAGCTGTCCCGTGTCCAGTTTGTGTTGCCATAACCAGCATGCCGCTGGGGGTGGACTCAAGGTAAGCTGCAGGCAACTGGAGCTTTCCCCTCCACATGCAGTTATTTTATTGTTCTTCCCCCAACCGCGAACTTGGACGACCTTTACAATTCTTTTTAACTCGGGAACCTAACTTTACCCGGCACTCCTATTATAATTCAAGTTGTTAGTCATTCCCTCCATTCCAGGCCATCAAGCGCTTTTGGGTCCTGGTTCCCATCCAGTATTTTAGGCGTCCTACGCTTTGCCACATTGGCAGATAAGACGGGTTTGTCTCTGGGCCCCACCCAGCCACTAATAAAGTACTGAAGGGAGGAGGCCAAGGCCAGCAACACATTTCTCTAAAAGCCAGATTTCAGAGAGAAAACTGGTCATTGTGGCCAAAAGTACAAAGTGAATGGCATACGTGTGCGGCTGGCATCGCCTTTAACTCAAAGGACTACTTTTTTAAAATTAAAAGTGCAGGAAGTCTGATGTATCAGAAGCCAGGCTTATTCAGATGGAGCAGTCCAAAGACTGCAGACCCTAAAACGAAATGTTACAACCGGGCTCTTCTAAGGGCCATGAGTTACAGGTAAGAGTAAGGACACAGGAAACGGAGTGAGGCTAAGCCACCCTGCACGTGCTCTGTGACGCCTCAAGTCCCTTCGCCTCCTCTGGAGTATGAACCAGGCCAGGGTGGAAAGAGACAGTTCTGCGGGGAGCAGCTATGACGACGCTGAGCCTGACCAACGGCACCCACAGCCTCCGCCTGGCCAGACGCCACATGTCCATGCCTGTCCGTGCCTGGCAGCCCCTGAGGGGTCACGGCAGATCCCCGACAGGTCGCCGTAATGGCTTAGCATCAATGATCTCGGAGTGAGGCTCTCCTCTGCACGTGTGTATGCGTGGTACAGAGTTCTAAACGAGAACCGTTACTTACATTCGCCGTGAACAAATCATAAAAAACCCGCCATTACACACACGCAGACCCTGAGTGCTAGAATGTGATAACTGGTGAATTTTGGAATTTTTGGAAACTAAATAAAAACAATTTCATTAAGTTACTTCCCTAGATGGTTATCCTCTAGAACTGTTAAGATTTACAATAACATTTTAAAAATGACTTCATGCTTAGTCTTTAGTCACTTTTTTCAAAAAACCTCTAATTAATAAAGTGTGTCAGTGACTCAGCTCCTCACTGCCATGTGTCACACTTAGAGAGATGACTAAAGACAAGCTGATGCCAAAAATACTGGGTCTCTCTAGTTAAAAAAATATGGAGAAACTTAACTTCAAAGAAAAAGAGATAATGGGGAGCAAGTTAGCAAAGTAGTCTCAAAGGCAAGAAAATTCACTGTCATTTCTCCTTCTCTTTGGAAGGTTTTCACTTAGAGCCTGGGCCAAATTAGAAGAAACACAAATTATTTGCTGAACTTACACTTCAGTTTTTCCTTACTCAAGGGAGAAAACTCCCCTAAATAAGTAAAATGCAGAATACCTTAATATCTAAATGGCTTTTTCTTTACCCCAAAATCAAGTGCAGTGGAGCAGAAGTTCTGTGTTTGTCACCAACCCTTTATTGAAACTGGTAACTTACACGCTTTATAACAGAACAACAAAAATAATGTTCAGTATATACAGTCTCTGCACGGACTATCTGACTATACACAAGGCAGGGCAACACCACAATCTAATCTTCATTATCATTTGTGCACAAAAAGACACCGACAGACAACGTGTGAACATTACAGTGAAATGACATCACGGGTCCAGTGAAAACTCAGCCTAATACAAAACATAAGCATCTATTGCCAACGGCACCTCTAAGTGCCCGGTCTGTTCAGCAGGGTCTACCCGGAGTCCGAGGCCGAGATCTGGTGTGTGGCTATAAGTCTCTTAAGCGAGACCACCTCTGCAGACAAGTTTGCGATCCCCTGCTTCAAAAACAAATTCTCGGGGTCAGAGACTTTGTAGCCATTGTCTTTCATCTCAACAACCCCAGTTTTGAAACTACTCTGAGTTTTGCCATTAGGTTCCTTTTGATGCCAGTGTTCGGACCTGAGAGACCAATCCTGGATGTTGGTCACCTGCACCGAAAAGGGAGTGAGGGGAGAATGCACCATACTCGGGGCACCGTGCTTCTCCAGTTCGAAATGTCTCTTTGACGTCATGTCAACGGGCGAGGAGAGTTTCTGCGTGGTATCAAATTCGTTATCGAAAGCCTCGACTTTTATCTGCATGGCTTTGGCTTTAATACGGAGCTTGTGTGGCAAAGCAGAGGAATTCACTTCTGGAACTTTAACCACGGTGGCGTGTCCGTGCTGAAGCTCAACAGGAGAGTGGATCGGGCCTTTGGGAACCTGCTGCTCGTCTTCTCCATCCGACGACTTTCCGACCGCACCGTCGTCGGTTTCCGACGTCCTTGGGGAGTTGCTGGAGGACCGGCTGACCTGCAGCAGGGGAGGGGAGTGTGAGTAGCCAGGGAAAGAACCGCCCACGTAGTTCTGGTAGACGGCCGCCCGGTAGGCGCCTCGCTCCTCTCTGGGCTCCCGCGCGTAGCTCTCCAGCTCCACCGGCTCCTGCTTGATGGCCTGGAACTGGCCGCCGGGGCTGCCGCAGCCGCCCCGCGCCGGGCCCTCCTGCGAGTGGTCCAGCGAGGAGGCCTCGGAGCCGTCGGACAGCGAGCTCTGCGGCGAGTGCTTGATGACGGAGATGCAGCTGCCGGCCACCGCGGGCTCCTCCGCGAAGGCGCTCCCGCTGGCCGCGGGGGCCTGGTAGTCTTGGAAGTACACGGCCGTGGAATTACTGAGCTTCTGGATCTCCTGGGCATATGCTGTGGAGCTAATCAAACCAAACTTTAATTTTAGGGAAAGCAGTTCAGCCTTTAGAGTGGCGTTTTCTTCTCCCAGTGCAATCAGCTTGTTCTCCAAAACCAGGTCATTCAGCCGACGCTTCTCCCGCGACCTCTTGGCAGCTTCGTTATTTTTCCGCCTTTTTTCCCAGTACATGGCATCTTTCTTCTCGTCGGGAATGAACTCCCGCTTCCGCCGGCAGGCGGAGGATTTGCTGCGCCCCACACTGCCTTCACTCAGAAGCAGCTCCTCGCCGGGGGTCAGGTCTTCGGAGGCTTCGGTTAAAGCCGAGCTCAGCACCACCGCCTTGTCCACACTGCTCCCGGGGTCCAGAGAGGCCTGCTCCTTCTTGACGGCCTGCATCTTTCTCAGCTGCATCAGAAACCACCTTACTCTGCCTGTGCCGAGCCGGGGACAAGTTATTTCCCCAGGATTCTCAAGTGCTCCACAAGCTGCGGCTTAAAATCCATCAATATTCTTCCCTTTCTTCTACTGTCCGGGACGGTCCCTCCAGCTCCTCCGCCGAGCGGAGTAGGGCCTTCTCGGTAACCTGCGGCACACGAAGAGAAACAGTTACCCATTTGGTAAACGCTTACTACCAATTTCGTACAGGAGCTGTGCTAAGCATCTAGGGTACACAGGTCTGAACAAGGCACAGTTTTCCCTCAGAGTCGGTGATCTGAAAAGGGAAACGAGTTCCCAAAAACCTAGACTGTCCAGTTGTAAAGGACAAATGCCCAGGGAGACCCAGGGCAGAGCAATCAGCCCATGGTCCAGGCGAGGGAGAGAAACCCAGCACCACGACTGGCCACGGAGGAGCAGAGGAAGGCGGTTTCCAGAGAAGGAAAGGTGGGGTGGGACGGGCGTGTGGGGATGGCACTTCACAGGAAGGAAATGACATCGCCTCTCTAGGTAACTTTTAAAATAGTCCTTGCATATTGTGGTGCTTCTAAAAAATTTGAGATAACATTTCTATCACTGAGAAGCAAACAAGCTAACCTCTTAAGAGGAACTTTTCCAAGTAAGCTCCTTTACTATCAGTAAACAAATTCTACAATTACATGGAATAAAATGCATATGGAGCTAAATTTTTATTTCCCCCAAAACTAAAATAAAAATCACACAAGTAACTGAGTTGTAATTGTTTTAATCTGACTCTTCTGTCCCTATGGACACAAACCTGTCCCTCTAGCCCCTGCCTGCCTGCTGGGCTTATGTCCAGCTCCTCCTGCAGGTGCGCAGCACACCCGAATGGAAAGGACTCTCCTCAATAAAGCAAACTCTTCTGACGCTTCTGTGCTATGAGGTTAGAAACCTTCTTTTCTTTGGTTCCTTCAAACTGATTTATCAAACATTCACTTAAGAACGAAGCATCCAAAGGACTTTTTTGGGTCCTGAAAATTCTGTCAAAATAGGTTTTATTTATACAGTAAGCTTTGGACTAAAATATACAGTAACTAATCAGGACTTTTTTTTTTTTTTTTTTTAAGTACAGTGGGATTCTTGAAACTTAAAATCATTTTAAGCCCTGGCCGAGTGACTTAGTTGGTTAGAGCATCGTCCCAATATGCCAAGGTTGTGGGTTCGATCCCCGGTCAGGGCACATACAAGAAGCAACCAATGAATGCGTCAATAAGTGGAGCAACACATCAATGTTTCTCTCTCTCCCTCCCGCCACCACACTCTCTCCCTTCCCCCCCAAATCAATAAAAATAAAAATATTTTACACTGAGAGAATGTAATTATGAAAAGGATTTCTTTCCACTTTACTAATTAGTTTCAAACAAAATATAAGAACTCAAAAATAGAACCATCAATTAGCTTCCTCTTCCACAGATGAAATATTTACTCTCTAAATTTGACTTGCCACGAGATAATAAACCCAAATTAGGTTCCAGTAACAGTCTTTTTATGACGATTTTTGGATGTGTGTTTCCAGACAGGGCGTCTGCACCCAATTCTTTCAGAAAGGAACTGTGGCGAGACCGCCGTTTGCAGCACCTGCACATGAGGCATTGGTCCCGCCGCACTGAGAGGGCCACTCCTCCTCTCTTGTGCATAGTTTTCTAATGCCTAATGAAATGAAGTTTAATTTTATCAGCTGGAAAAGCCTGCCACATTCTTGTGTCTTTTCCAGAAGTAATAGAAGGAGTGATGTAATAATTTCAGGATCATAAAAGCAAGGTTCAATGCCACATTTTCGTCTATCAAATTGAGTCAACATGAAAACTAAGCTGCGACTTAGCGAAGTTTGGGATTAATATCAAGTGTAGGCAAGGAATCAGCCACGGCAAGCGGTGAGGGCATAGAGGGGGAGTCTTTCTAGTTGCCGCTGTAGTAAAACAGCAGTGCTTCCCATTTTCCACTTAGGCTTTGTCTTCTGACACAAAAACTCATTTTTCCTCCACATGGGATGGTTTCTTTCCTCTTGTTAAGGATCTGTGCTCCCTTATTCAGCTAAAAGTTCCCCTAAAGTCCTGCCTAGGCACAGAGAAAACAAACCTACTTCCATTTACCAAAAATATCCCACTCGTCTGAAAACCTTTAACCCCTTCCGTCTAAGTGTCCAGGTGCTGTCTGTTCACTTCATCTCCGCAGCTTCGCCGGTACGTTCAGACCTGCAGGAGCCTCATTTCTTCTTAGTTAACTTCCCCACTTGCATTTTACTACGTGTACTGGAGGGAAAACTCTGGGATTCTTCCCTTACCTGCCCGAATTATCTGCCTTTGTGACTCCATTGGCAAATTACCACATACTATCAGAGGACGTTTTCTAGAACATTATTTATCAGATACTCTCGCAGAGCTGCACAGCTCAGCAGCACGAGGCGATGAGGGCGGCTGGCCTGTGCACGCTGGGCTCGGTTTCGCTGCCACGGCCAGCCCGCCCTCAGCGCCCCAGGCAGGCTCTGCAACTGTGCAAAGCGACGGACAGCGGGACCAGCGTTACCGCAGGCTAACGACAGAAGCAGCAGCTGAGTCCCCACGGCCTCTCATCAGTGTCAGAGCGTAATGAAATGGAATTAGACAGTACTGGGGGACCACTGTCCCTCAAAGCCCAAGTCAATGTATCTGCATCCTAGCAACAAACTGAACACACGAGCTGCTCAGCATCCGACTGACAGTCACTCGTTTGCCTTATAGAAGAGAGTTTTGTAACCAAAAAACTTTTCTGATACTTTCTTTTTAATACTATTTTGGAAATTCTAAAAAAAAAGAAAAATGTTTTCCTTCTTAGCAGAGAGCTTCTCTTATTCGTTAACTGGGTTGTTCCACACGTCCCGGCCATCACCGAGCCAGCCGGGGGCACAGAAAGGCAGAGGGGAAGCCAAACTTCCGAGAGGCAAAGGACGGCCAGCCCGCGGCAGGAGGGGAGGACAAGCGGGTAGCAAGGAGTGCGCGAGGGGTGACGCTGGCGAGGGCCTGGGCTCCCCCACTTCACACCGTTTCTACTGCGCTTTTTTCTTGGTATAATGACAAAAACAACGACAGTCCTAACAGGCTCCATGTGCTGAACACTGTGTCACAGGCACTGGGAGCCTGCCTGCCATCACTTCGTTACCCTCATGATAACCATTTTCAGATGAGAAAACTAAGGCTCCGAGAAGTTAAGAGCCCTGCCCGGAGTCACACAGCTAGCACGGTGGCAGGACAAAGGCTCCAGTCAGGCCGACCCACCCCGACTCCTCTAACAGTGCCCTCTCCTGAGCTTGCGGGGGGCTGCTGGGCGCTACTGCGGCTCCTTTTCTGTGCCCCTCTCCCTCCTGGGAATCGTGCCCTTTGCTCAGTTGCTGGGAGACAGGGAGGCCACCTCTGGGCCACTTCCCTCCCAGCTTCCTCAGTTGCTTCCTACCTGGAGGCTATTTACTGAATTGAGAAGAAAACATGCTAAGGTTTCCTGCTAAAATGTTAATCTCTTGGGCATTTTACTTTTGCTAAAATAAAGGACAAGTAAAGTCACAGCGATAGCATTGTCACCTTAATTCCTTTTAACACCCAAAATGCACGCATCTTCAACCCACGGAGCTGGAGCGGAGCTAAAACCCAGTGACCTTCCCAAGACCACGCAGCGACAGGAGGCCCAGCTGGGCCCTAAACCTGGGTGTGTCTCTCAGCAGTGACCCTAAATGGAGGTGAACACAAAGGCGGTTCACAATGCCTTCTAAAAACATCAGCACTTATGCCCAACTAATGACTTAATTTCAAATTTCAAAGTTTCCCCTTATGATTAATTTAACAATCGTCACCTCTGCCTCACGTATTCAGGTCACTACTAACATTGTGTCACATCGGTCACCACTTAAGTTTCCTTTTTGGTGAGTAATTGACTTAAATGCCAGTCCTGTGACGTTGGTGTGCTCAGCATGATCAGCTTCATTACACCCATTAGGTAATATGGCTGCTTCTTAAAAACACAAATAAAGAGAGAAATTTAAGAGCAGGCGTCATCACATCCCAATGGACATTTCCCCCACATCTAATGTGGACGTGCTGTTGCTAATTAATGCTGCTTCCCAGTACCTGGCGCTATTCCCATAGGCAGGAGTTCTCTTTCGTAAGCCTGAAGTTTTAAAGTCTATCTAACGCAGGTGACCCGAATATTGTTTTTAATTAAGATTAAAATTTGGCTTAGAAAATTCCCCTAAAATAAAGCTTTACAATAGGAATTCTAGACCAAATTTCTTCTGGAGGAGTGACCTCATTACTCACTTTCACAGTAGCTGATAGGCCTTTATCTTCCCTGACCTCCAACACCTGTCAGAGGTAACGGTGACAGTCAGACTCCTTATAAAACCAGAAAAGAAACAACATTGTGTTTAAAGCATCTGAACTCTTACTAGCAGTTTAGACATTAAAATCTACTATAGGGAAATTTTGTTATTAATAAGTCTTATTGCAAATTGAGTCTTTTACATATTTTGATTTTAAAATCTGTCAATAAAAAAAATGAAGTACTATTTCATATGCCCAAAGACAGAGAAACACTTTATAGAACTCTCATTTTCCCCCCACTCTCTCGAATGTGCTGTTTATCCCTGAGAGGTATTGTACAGAAATCATTAAAGAAAAAACAGCCCTGTTACGTGCAACCATAAGCCGTCTCTCCAGGAAGCAGGCAGCTGCTTGTTTTGGAGATAAGTGCCATTTTGGGG